ATTCCACATGCTGTGGAGCATCTAAGCCCATGCACAACAACCACTGAACCCATGGCTCTAGAGCCTGCAGTCTGCAGGTACTGAGCCCATGCGCTGCAACTATTGAAGCCCATGCGCCTGTGCAAAGCAGCAAAGACCCAGTGCAGCCAAAAATAAAATATTTTAAAAAGAAGAAAGCAAGAAGAGATTGAGCAGAAGGAGAAGAGACAGACAGAGTATCAGATGGTTGGATGGCATTACCGACTCAATGGACATGAGTTTGAGCAAACTCCAGGAGATGGTGCCGGATAAGAAAGCCTGGCATGCTGCAGTCCGTGGGGTCACAAAGAGTCATACACGACTTAGTGACTGAACAACAAGACTATTATTACTCAGTACCATTGTATCACGATTGATTAATAGAAAAATAATGGAATTCTGTATTTTGAAGAGTACCATTAAATAGAAGAACCTATGATCAAATCCAGATGCATATCAGAATTATCTTGGAATCTGCCTGCAATGCAGGAGACCCGGGTTTGATTTCTGGGTTGGGAAGATCCTCTGGAGGAGGAGATGGCAGTCTAATCCAGTATACTTGCCAGGAGAATCCCATGGGCAGAGGAGCCTGGCAGGCTACCATCCATGGGGTCGCAAGAGTTGGAGATGACTTAGTGACTAAACTATTACCACCACAGATGCCCAGGTATTTCTTTTTTTTCACCAGAGCTCCAGATACATTTCTAATGAGCAGCCATGTATAAAAACAACTGGACTGTATGAAGAGCTTTTACTTTTATCGAGTTTGTTTCACTTTTTCTATTTCATATTCAGTGCTCCTATTTCATTTATTTAATGTTTTCCAATTTCTCCATTTCTTTTTTTTTTATGTTCTTTCTCAAGCCTTTATCAAGTGTAGTAGAAAAACTTTTGTATACATATACATAAATAATAGGTATAATATATATTTTAGAAAACTTATGAATTTTTGCCTAACTAAAAAATTTGTGATATTTTGATTCTACTTGTTTGACTTAGTAAAAGTAGAAAGCTAGATTTGTAATTAAAAAAGGTATATATGTATATATGCAGCAAGCAATAAAGGTTTATGCCACAGCACAGGAAACTATAGTCAATATTTTATTATATACTATAACAGAACATAATTTCAAAAATAATATGTGTGTGTGTGTATATATATAACTGGATCAAAAGTAAAAGAATTCTACTTTTTGAAATTTAGTAATGTTTACCTTTTTGCCAGTTTTTCTAAATGTAATGTACATCTTTGTTTCATTAAAAAAAAAATCTTAAACTGCAAGTTTCACTAACATACCATGCATGTGACCTCATTCTGATTTTAATCTAAATCTGGTACCCCAGGGGGCTTTTTAGGTTCTTGGAAGGTTTAAGGGTGCTTTAAAAAGTTTTTGTTTAAATTAATTAATTGTGGGCTGCATTGGGTCTTCATTGTTGTGTGCGGGCTTTCTCTAGTTGTGGTGAGCAGAGGCTACTCATTGTGGTAGCTTCTCTTTGTTGCGGAGCATGGCCTCTGGTCCTGGATAGTTGCAGCACGTGGCCTCAGTAGTTGTGTGAATCTTCCGGGACCAAGGATTGAACCTGTGTCCCCTGCACTGGCTGGAAGGCAGATTCTTAACCACTGGACCACAAAAGAACCTCTGTAAAAGTTTTAAATGACCTAGGAGTACAATATTTGCCCTAACTTTAAAGGGAAGTGCAACAGCTATCCTAGAGGAGAGAGGTCTGTGGAACCCTAAGAAAAAGAGAAGAGAAAGAGAGAGGAATGGGAGGACATTTTCCTAAGAATTTTCTTACAGCTCTCTTCTTAGGAAGCTTTAGAGCTCTGAGTTTACCAGTTATGACAGTATTTTGGGCCTAGTGGACATCTCACCCCAGCATACTTTTGCTGCAGTATCTAAAATGCACTTTCTTCAATATGGTAACCACTGACCAACCATGGCTGTTTACAGTTGCTCATTAGTCACATTTCAGGTGCTCAAAAGAGCTAACTAGTTGGATAGTGTAGCTACAGAATATTTCCATCATTTTGGAAAGTTCTTTTGCACAGCACTAATCAAGATGAAAAAGTTATACAAGAAAAATGTTAGGAAGAGCTTTGTTGGGTAGAGATTAATATAGAATTGAAAAGGATATTTTCTTGACTTAGATTCTCTTAAGATTATGAATATCACCATATCAGTTGATATTTGGAACATTTCAGGCATTTAATTCTTATGCTTTTGCTTCCAGAGTAAAGTAAATAAATTCTGTAGTTTTATTTCAGGATTATACAAATTGATATGTTTGAAATGAATTCACTTATAGAACAAGAGAGTAAAAGATGTGAAAAACAAACTTATGCTTGGGGCGGATGGGGAAGGGAGGGAGGGATAAATTGGGAGATTGAGATTGACGTAGATACCACTTTACATTAATGGATATCTAACTAGTAAAACCTACTGTATAGCACAGGGAATTCTACTCAGTATTTTGTAATGACCTATATGGGAAAAGAATCTTTAAAAAGTGGATATATTTATATGTATAACTGATTCACTTTGGTGTACAGCTGAAACGACCACAACACTGTAAATCAACTACCATGCAATAAAAAATTTTAAAGATAAAAATATTGGCATGTTTGTCAAGATGACTCTGAAAAATAGAATCTGTGAATTCATATTTCTGCCATACATTTGATTTCATTATGCTATCTTCTGAAGCAAATACTGGTTTAATAAGATTTTATTTCTTTGGTTTTCTTTGTTCTCATTAATTAAGCCTCTGAAACTTTGAGACTTTTAAGCTATTTAGATAAATCCTCATCTGCTTCATCTGTCCCTCCACCCTCTCCCCACTTTCATTTCAGTTCAGTTCAGTCGCGACCAACTCTTTGCGACCCCATGGACTACAGCATGCCAGGCTTCCCTGTCCCATCACCAACTCCCGGAGCCTACTGAAACTCATGTCCATCGCGTTGGTGATGCCACTTTAGATAGCAGCAAATGAATGTTTTTATATTAGAAGGAAGTGTGCTCATTGTTTAGTTTCCCATTGCACCTTCAACATAAGAAATTCGGGGAAAATTTTGTAATACAGCAAAATGGTAAAGATTAATAAAATCTATCATTTTTCCCCAAAATGGAAGCTTTGTCATTTTTATTATATAATGTACTGATTAGAACAATAGGAAGTTAAAATGTGAAAAGAGCTCTCTTGATCTTCTTGAGAATACTCCTAGCACGTGACCTTTGAGTCAGAGGGTGACTGTTGGTTTATGGTAATGTGTACCTTTTTACTGTATTAGTAGTTTAAAGCAGAAAAGCAAAATCTTTTCCGTTCATGTAAAAAAGGCATCTGATTATGTTTAATGTCCATTTTGATCATTTAAAAATCTCTTACTAAAATACTGAAAGATATTTCAATAAATATGCTAATTAACACATTTTTCTAATATTCAGCTGTTTTCCTAAAATGAACTGCCTTTGATCATGGTGTATTAATTACTATTTTAATCTGTCATTTGATTCTTATTGATACTATTTATTTAAAAATAGATTTGTTTGTTTTGCCAGGTTTTATTATCCCTGGAAGAACTGAGAAGCTTTAGTTTGTTTCCTGAAACAATTGAAGAAGCATAGAATTTACCTGTTCCTTTAGGGTTTCATCTCCTTGTTTGATCCTAGTACTTTTGTAGGATGTAATTGTTTTTGGCTTTCTTAAATTTATGTAATGGATGTTGATTTATTCTCAATTTTCATATTTATCAGCATAGACTTACATCATTTTATTCTTCTGTGTCTATGGTTATAAATTATCTTATTCTTAATTTTGTTTTTGTATTTTCTTAGACTTATTTTCTGGAGAAGGAGATGGCAACCCACTCCAGTATTCTTGCCTGGGGAATCCCAGGAACAGAGGGGCCTGGTGGGCTACAGTCCTTGGGGTTGCAAAGAGTTAGACATGACTGAGCAACCGAGCTCACAGCACAGCCCTAGTTTATCATCTTTTTTCTTTTTTTTTTCCTGGAAAAAAAAAAGGCTTTGAAATTGTTTATTAAAAAGAATGAGCATATACTTGCAGTGATTAATAGCAAATGATACTGTAGTAAAGCTACTAGGGNGGGCATCCACGCCGAGGAACCAGAACTGAAAGAGACACATGTACCCCAGTGTTCATAGCAGCACTGTTTATAATAGCCAGGACATGGAAGCAACCTAGATGCCCATCAGCAGATGAATGGATAAGAAAGCTATGGTACATATACACAATGGAATATTACTCACCTTATTTTCGAAGAGCTAATTTGTCAGTTTTAATTAAATAAGTTTTTGTAAGTCAGTTTCCACTTTTTATCATTATGAATTTCTCTCTCTTCTAAAAAATTACTAATACCCAAATGGTTATTCTCCTTCAAATATGTTGCTTTAAGTAAAGGAACTGACTTAAGAAGTGAAAATTGCTTGTCTGTGATGTAGGCTTCCTACTTCCAAAAAATTGCAACACTTAATTGTAATATAGGTAGTTGCTTAAATAGAAATCATTAAGACTCCAGAAAAAGGATTGTGATAGACCAGTTGTAGGCTGTAGCTTTTCCTTCATTTGCATCATGATCTTGTTGAAAGGATATTTTCAAAGAATTACTAGTGTATAGTGTCTTTTTTTTTTTTAATTTTCCCATTTAGAGTATTTTGGCATCATCTGGCAGTTTTTTTGCATAACTTCATGTATACTATCAACAAAGATTGCTTTCATAGGTTTTAATTTTCTACTTAAGGATCTTATTGTTTCACAGTAGATTGAGTGATGGGTAGATTTTTATATCAGTGGCATTTCAGAACATTAAAAATGTGAGAATATTAAACAAAGCTATATTTAGTCACATTAAATCAACTAACACACTTCTGTTTATTTATTGAGCTGTTCCTTTTGTGTTATATGTATTTTCTTATAAAATGTTTCCTTTAAGACTAAATTTAAGTACTTGATTTCCTTTGTAGGTATAAGCGTGTCTTTTCAGTTGGAACCCATGCGATTACTACATATAATCCCAATACCTTAGAAGTAACAAATCAGGTAATAATTTTAGAAGCTATTCGGTGTATGAACTCCACTTGAATTTTAAAAGCCAATGCTCCCTAGCCTGAAATCAGGCCAGGAAGGATAGAAATGTCAAATTTGAAAAAGATTAATATGCTTATGTAATGCTCAATAATCAGGACCAAACATAAATAAATAAAGGGAGCATATGTGTGCATATTTCTAGGCTCTAAGGGATATAAATTTCTACTGTTACTTTGATTATAACCATCATTTTAATGTAAAATTTGTAGATTCTTTATAATTTTAAGAGCAATATTGTTACTGTAATACAGACATACATAAGTCATAAGTGCATTGGTTAGAAAATGTTTGTCATAAGGTTTCTGTTTATAAAGGCAAGACTAAACTGAATATGGGTAAATAAACACTTAAAAACATTCTAGTTTAAGTCCAAATTAGGCATGTTTTACAGATTCCTCTTTTTGTTGCTGTTTTTAAAGGTTTGTAGATAATCATAAAATGTTATTCCTCAGTTCTTTTCATATCTGTGTACTTTAATTGCTTTGGATTGATCAATCATTAATCAATCAGGCATTGAAATTGGAAAACAGAACTTTTTTGTTATTGTCTCTGATAACTAAAAGCTTTTTAGTTTGTTTTATAGAATTACTGTAAAACAAAATGTTTTCTAGATCTCAGTACTATTTTGTAAAATTTTTTCATTTAATCAGTGATTTGAAATTAAAATGGTAAAAATAAGTGTTGCATTTCACCACACTGTAGCACCAGTTGAATGGTTTCCTTTTTTTTTTTGTTTTTGTTAGTGGCCTTATGGAGACATTTGCAGCATCAGTCCTGTAGGAAAAGGACAAGGAACAGAGTTCAACCTCACATTTCGTAAAGGCAGTGGAAAAAAGTCAGAAACGTTAAAATTTTCTACAGAGCACAGAACAGAACTTCTTACAGAAGCATTGGTGAGAACTGTTTCATGTTAATACACTAAATTTCCGTCTTCTCTTTTTTAATGAGTTAAAGTACAGATACTAATGTTCTAAGCCCTTTTCCTACTTATTGACTGTTAATTGACACTGTGAAACTTTTACTTTTTTTCTTACTAAGAGGCGGATAGTCCGTTAGGTTTGATAGCTTTTTTTAAGTCTTTTTAAATGCATTATATAGAACAAAGCAGTTGTATGTTTAATCTACCCTGTTTTTCAATAAAATTTCACACACTTTTTATTGAATCTCTTTAAACGGTAACTTTAATGACTTTTTTTAATATCAGGATTACCAAGTTGGGATTTTACTTAATTTGGATAGAAAGTACTGAACTGAGAGTCTCTCTTAATAAGTCTGTTGTTATAAACTATGTTTTTATGTCTTCTCTTTCAGAGATTTAGAACTGATTTTTCAGAAGGAAAAATCACAGGAAGGGCAAGTATTTATAACATTTACTAATATCTTTTTTGGTTTATCAGTGTTGCACTTTAGAAATCCTTGCATAAACTGTGTATTCCCTTTGTGGCAGAGCTAAAGAAAATGAAACCTAATTTTAATGTCTCCTGATATCATGTGATAGATAAATGTAGTTTAACAGGAAACTCAAATATGAGAAATTAGATTTATGACTTAATGCCAAGAGTTAGAAAACAATCTTCAGGCAGAACTAAATATTAACAAGGCTTCATTCAGGAAGTCTTTATTCTGTGTTCTTAGCAGCAACAGAAGCGTCACACTGCTGATAATACTTTTTAGAACATACAATTGTTTGTTGTACAAGATTCTTATTTCAGAAGTATTAAACTTGTAAGAAAATTTATGTGTTGAAACTGTCTCATTTTATGTTCTTGCCCTAAATCTGGGGGCTTCCCAGGCGGCTCAGTCACCTACCAGTGCAGGAGATGTGGGTTCAATGCCTGAGTCAGGAAGATCCCCGGGAGGAGAAAATGGCAACCCACTCCAGTATTCTTGCCTGGAAAATCCCATGGACAGAGCAGCCTAACAGGCTACAGTCCATAGGATCACAAAAAGTCCTGCATGACTGAGAGACTGATCATGCTCGCATTCACTGGGTCTTACCGATAATGAAGGTTTGCATGGTGCAATGACAGCTTTCAGGAAGTAATTATTGCTTATTAGAGTCTTAACTTTTCCAGGCCTTCTCTAGACATGTTATAGCAGCATTTAAAGTAAATCTGAGTCTTCTGGGGAGGGGAAATGGGCGCTGATGATTTTCTTTCACTCCCTTAAAATATGGAATTTCTTTCAATGACAAGGTATTGCTTATATAATAGGGGTGGGGGATCCAGAGTAGTGTGTAAATTCATAGCACTGTCCAGAACTCTAGCTTCTGGCAGAAGGCAGGACCTGAATTCTAATATGCTGGCAGTACCATTCCCTTGTTTTTTAAAAGCCCTCATCCTTTCTATGGGTATTCTGTTTTGTGTTTTAGTATCTGAGAGCCTCACTGATCTCAACTCAAGCAAATGGTTGGTTGCCAGGAGCCATTTAAAATAGCTTAATGATTTTTGGTGAGCTCCTTGCTACATATACATGATAAGCCATAATCACATTTCTATAAATCATAATTTAGTACACTTATTTTAATTATGTTAGTAGGTGAGTTTTCTGTATAGCTCATCTATTTGGAAAACAACTGCTTCCTAAAGCATATTTATAGATTTTGTTATAAGTTCCCTTTTATATATGTTAACTTCAGCAACTTAACATTTTTCGAACTTTTTGGTGGAAACAGTATCCTTAGAAGATAGCCCGAAGGGCAGCAGTTTTATATAAGTTGAATTTGGTCTTAGGCTTCCCATTGCTCCTAGATACACTCTTAAATCAGGTTCTCTTAAGACTGTCTTGGCTGCCACAATCCTAAAGGACAGTGATTTGTTTTCTTGGCAAATCTCACTGCTTTACAGTTGATTACCTTCTGAAAGAATGGAGAATATCCTGCAGAGTGGGCTGAGACATGTAAACCAGCATAGTTGGGAAAAGCACCAACTTTTGTGACCTCCCTTCCCACCAAATTTTGTGACCCACTTCTGCTGGAAAGGTGTGGTACTGCTCCATCCTTTTGTTCAGAATCAAGGCTTTAAATATATTCTTGGGTTAATGCAGGCCCTTTGGTCTTTCTGCAGAATTCCTTTTATGAAACTGTCATGTGCATGATGCCATAGCTCAGTAATGCTGAGGGGATTGATGGATATGATTCTGTGAACCTCATTGCTGGGTTTCATGTTGGGAGGTGGAGATATTTATTATCTAATGTCTTACTCTGTTTTCTGAACACATGCAAGAGAATTTCTCTGCCATTTTAGTATTAGAAATAGTTGTATTTTTGAGCAGCAACCAGTTTATTTTTACCTCAAGAATCATGTAACTGACCATGCATTCCACTTCATATTGATGGGTAGAGAACTTTATGGAGTTTTTGGGTCAACAAGGGAATGTTCATTTCACATCTGACATTTTGTTATCCTGTTTTCTCTTGGCCACATTTTGCCTTTATTTTCAGTTTTTCTGTACACATCATTTTGGTTATCAGCCTCAACTAAATGTTTTTTTCTAAGAATAAAACTGGGGAGTAAATTGATATTCACCCTTGTAATTATTTCTGATACTAAGTTCTTTAATTTATAAAGGAATGTTACCTAAACAGAGCTTCCCAGACAGCGCTAATGGTAAAAAACTGCTTGCCAATGTAGGAGACATAGGAGATGTGGGTTAGATCCCTGGGTTGGGAGGACCGCTAGAGAGGGAAATGGCAACCTACTCCAGTATTCTGGCCTTGAGAACCCCACTGACAGAGGAGCCTGGCAGGCTCCAGTTGAGGAGGTTGCAAAGAGTCAAACGCAACTAGCACCAGTTATCTAAATCAAATTTTACTTGCTAATGTGATCAAACTTCTAAAGATGACTTCCCAGTGGTGTGTATTTAGAAAAGCCTACAGTCAAACTGAGGCTTCAGCTTTTTTGTGTGTATAGAAAAAAAATCTACATCACTTCATGACAAATAGAAGGTGAAAAAATAGAAGTGGTGACAGATTTTATTTTCTTGGGCTCTAAAATCACTGTAGGCGATGACTTGTGCAGTGAAATTAAAAGATGCTTGTTCCTTGTAAGGAAATCTTTAACAAACCTAGAATGCATATTGTAAAGCAGAGACATCACTTTGCCAACAAAGGTCCATGTAGCCAAAGCTATGGTTTTTCCAATAGTCATGTAGGGAGGTGAGAGTTTGACCATAGCAAAGGCTGAGCACTGAAGAACTGATGCTTTTGTATTATGATGCTGGAGAAAACTCTTGAGAGTGCCTTGGACAGCAAGGAGATCAAATCAGTCAATCCTAAAGGAAATCAACCCTGAATATTGGAATATTGTAAAGACTGATGCTGAATCTCTAATACTTTGGCCACCTGATGTGAAGAGTGGACTCATTGGAAAAGACCTTGATGCTGGAAAAGATTGAAGGCAAGAGGAGAAGGGAGCAGCAGAGCTTGAGATGGTTAGATAGCATCACCAACTCAGTGGACATGAATTTGAACAAACTCCAGGAGATAGTGGAGGACAGAGAAGCCTGACTTGCTGCAGTCCATGGGATCGCAGAGTCAGACACAACTGAGCGACTGAACAACAACAAGAAAGATATCTACATTGATATATTGAACTAGCTTGGGTTGTTTAAATTAAATACCCTAACAGCCCTGAAATGTCACTTATCTCTTTACTGTATCTAACTTGATTAAAGGAATCCATCAACAAAAGTTGAAATGTTTTCTCCAGTGGAACTCCTTCAAAGTAACTTCTATTTAAGATTTCCTTTTTTTTTTTCATTTATTTTTATTAGTTGGAGGCTAATTACTTCACAACATTTCAGTGGGTTATTTCCCTTAAGATTTGCATGCAGGTGACTTAAAACTGTTTCACAACTCAAACCTTTGTTAATTTTAAAAGGATATACTGTCTTTTCTTTACTGTTCATGGGGTTCTTAAGCCAAGAATACTGAAGTGGTTTGTCATTCCCTTCTCCAGTGGACCACATTCTATTAGAATGAATAGTATGAAAAAGGCAAAAAGATAGAACACTGAAAGATGAACTCCCCAGGTCTGTAGGTGCCTAATATGCTACTGGAGATCAGTGGAGAAATAACTCCAGAAAGAATGAAGGGATGGAGTTAAAGCAAAAACACCACCCAGTTGTGGATGGGACTGGTGATAGAAGCAAGATCTGATGCTGTAAAGAGCAATATTGCCTAGGAACCTGGAATGTTAGGTCCATGAATCAAGGCAAATTGGAAGTGGTCAAACAGGAGGTAGCAAGAGTGAACATCAACTTTCTAGGAATCAGCCAACTAAGATGGACTGGATTGGGTGAATTTAACTCAGATGACGATTATATCTACTACTGTGGGCAGGAATCCCTTAGAAGAAATGGAGTAGCTATCATGGTCAACAAAGGAGTCCAAATGCAGTACTTGGATGCAATCGCACAAACGACAGAATGATCTCTGTTCATTGCCATGGCAAACCATTCAATATCATGGTAATCCAAGTCTATGCCCTGACCAGTAACACTGAAGAAGCTGAAATAGAATGGTTTTATGAAGACCTACAAGACCTTTTAGAACTAACACCCAAAAAAGATATCTTTTTCATTATAGGGGACTGGAATGCAAAAGTACGAAGTCAAGAAACACCTGGAGTAACAGGCAAATTGGGCCTTGGAATACGGAATGAAGCAGGGCAAAGGCTAATAGAGTTTTGCTAAGAGACTGCACTGGTCATAGCAAATACCCTCTTCCAACAACACAGGAGAAGACTCTGCGCATGGACATCACCAGATGGCCAACACCGAAATCAGATTGATTATATTCTTTGCAGCCAAAGATGGAGATGCTCTATACAGTCAGCAAAAACAAGACTGGGAGCTGACTGTAGCTCAGAGCATGAGCTCCTTATTGCCAAATTCAGACTTAAATTGAAGAAAGTAGGGAAAACCACTAGACCAGTCAGGTATGACCTAAATCAAATCCCTTATAATTATACAGTGGAAGTAACAAATAGATTCAAGGGATTTGATCTG